TGTCGAGACGGCCAGTAGCCACCACGAAGCGTATAGTCGCTCGTACTGCAGCCATGTTCGGCTTCCAGCTTGCTCCATCCATGGGAGACTTGCCTCCCAAGTAAAATGAAAGGTTTCCTCGTTGCGTGTCTGTACATTGAAGCATTTCCTGCCGGTATGACGTCCATCTGCTGCACCTGAAGAGAAAGTGTGCCACTGTCTCTCGCTCTCTTCCACATTCGCATAGATCCGTCGTCGATACTTTGATTTGATGACGGTAGTAATTCAGTCCTAGCATACCTGCCCTCAACTGGCCGAGGAAGCTTCGTTCTTTCCATGCTCCTTCGTTGTAGAGCAATTTAGTTGTACTGTACCGTAGGGCCAAGGATTGGTGCCGCTAACTTGGTATAGCCTGCCATACCCACCAAAAGTGTCGCCCCTCCGCCCGCTTGCCCGCGGTCGTGCTGGAGACGGACCCAAGCAACAAGAAGTGAGCGCCTCCTGCTGTTGCTGTTGAAGTCGATATTGATCACCTTACTGGAACCAGTACCAAATAATGGACATTCTCCACAAAGCCATTAGTCAACGGTCACGTCCTTTGCGTGTCGAAAAGTCTCGCCGCGCCCACAGAGATAAACACACTCTTCCAAGATGGTACTGCCGAATCCGGCCTACCCTTTTCAAGGAAGACAGAGATGCGACGTGAGCCGACTTCGACGAGGATCTCTCAAAGCTGGAAGAGGACAAAGCAGCAGAGAGTTCTGGACCCGATGATGAAGATTGCTCGGAGCGATCGTACGATGGGTCCGATGCTGGTTACTACTACGAGCTGAAAGACATGCGGGAGGAATTGAAGAGGGACAGGCTTCAAGTACGAAAAGAGAAAATACAACAGAGAGGATCAAGGAGGAGGAGGTCGGCGCTGCGTCCATGGCTCTTGACAAGGCCGAGCGGGAGCACAGGATAATCGCTGTCGGGCCACTTGCCCGTCAGAGTTTCAAGCTATTCTGTGTGGACCACGTCGAGTATTTCTTCTCCGATCTCTATCCGACCAAACGGATTGAATTTTATAGTCTCGATAACTTGGACGGCTCTGATCAGGAGCAGCCTGGTAGCGCGGCTAACATGTTGTATGGCGACGTGTATCTTAATGCCGAGGCCAACTGCAACTTTGGTCCGTTCCGCCCCCCAACACGAGCGAGCCAGAACGTTGTCAAAGTAAAGAGTTGCGACGGGAAGTACGACCTATGGTTGAAGTTCATCGGCAAACGCTACCTGAAGTTGAGAGTCTCGCGGGAAATGGTGTTCATGAACCCATTCAGGGCAAGCGCTCCCGATCCTCCAACTGCTGCTCCGGAAGTGTTCGAGTTCGTCGGTGTCTTGCGCGATTTAGAGAGGGAGAGAGCGGATCGGCAGACAAGACTGGCAAGCGTGCGTCGCTCCCCGTCTCCCTGCGAGAGCTGGTTCGAACTGAACCATCCTATGGGATGGTGGAATCAGTGAAGGCAATCTTGAACAGTTCAAGATATTGAGAGAGATGTATCAAGCTGTCTTCATCTTTGGCGAAGGAATTAACTGGATGAATCCGCAGGGCGCAGGCTTCAAAAGAAGGATTAGGCCTGCGACTGGACGAAACAGATAGCATAAGTCATATAGCAGTCTAGCGAATGAGTTGTGAAGCTGTCCTATCACCGGTTGAGTGGGAGTTTGATGGCACTTGGCGTATGTGCCATTAGGATCTATGTCCGCCTTTTCAATTATGTGTCCTCTACAGTACTCAGATTTCGCCTATGGTAGCTGGCCGCCCTTGCCCTTGATATGCTGTCCTATTGCATTGCCCATGGGGATCCAGCTGTGTAACTTGTGACTCGCCGCCAACATATGATAATTAAGGCCTGAATGCTGTATCTTCGCCGAAAAGGAGATGAACCTAGGAGGATCGCAGATCGTTCTGGATACTTGGCGGCTCAATCTAGCGTAGGTGCAATGGCAGAACTAGAACTAGCCAGCGACAGAATCTCAGACAGGAGGTATTTAGATTCACGTGCAGATAGCTCCTTAGAACTGAGAGAGCTTAATCGCGATATCACTCCGCCAGGAAAGCTACCAATGTCCCACGGTTCACAAGTCAGCATATCACCTTTCAAGCCTAAAGATCTTCTTCGAGCCTAGGTTTTAGCCGAGCGGACCATAGACCGATCGGACCGGAAAACGCGAAGTGGAATCGGAAGCGAGTGTCAGGCCTCTTGACGCGCAGTAAGAGCTTTAGATCTATGATGAGCTCCGTAATGGACACCTTATCCACTAATGGGGCTCCTAAATAGCGTGCTAAGCAGGCTCTCATAACTGGCTCTACTAATGCAGGTATAGCAGCGTACCTTGCAGAACTGCCTAGACAAATTATGCGACTGCCAGAAGCAGCTGAAGAACACCCTCAGGAAAGGGATTAAGCGCTTATAGGAGGTACGGCGCTTAAAAAGAAGACGAAGACAGGAGAGAAGCAGTTATTACTGGTACGATACCTCAGGTAGCGTCTAAATATGGCACAGAAGGCTGCTCGTCTTTGACTTCTGCAAAAGCAGATTTGAAACAATCGTTGCTTGTTCGATGCTCTCCGCCATTCATCTCCTGTATTCATAAATTCCTTCATTCATTTCTTCATCGGCCACTGAGCGATTGAGTCTAGTTCCCATGCCCGCTTTCGCGACATGCTCCCGACCAACTTGCACCGCTTTGCCCGTTTCCCGCCTGAACTCCGCTGCAGCATCTGGCGCTTTGCCCTCGGCGAGCCCCACGTCCACCGGCTCCGCATCGGTCCCGGACAGGGAGAAAGCCAGAACCAAGACCAAGACCAAGACCAGTCCCTCGTCCTCTACCCAGCCGAAACACTCCCCAGCTCCACAGCTACGACGCGCACCATCTTGTCAACATACATGGAATCACGCATAGAAGCCATCCGAGCCCTGCCAGACTCCCTGCCACTCTTTTCCCCATCTCCCAACGCGGCCGGCGGCTGCTACACACTCCGCTTCAACGCCCGCAAGGACGTCATCTGCCTCGCGGAGCTCGAGCCCGATGCAGTGGGAGCCGTGAGGACACTCCTTCGCGACCCACCGCCGAACCGAAAGAAGGACGACTCGCAATGGCTCAAGCAGCTGGGGAGCGTAAAGCGTCTCGCGATTGATGTGCGCAACATAAGCTTCGTGTATGACTACAGAGAACTCGGTCGGCGCAGGGAGGAGCTGGCTGTGTTGCCGTCCTTCCTGGCGGCGTTTGCGGGGCTGGAATGGCTCTTCCTGATTCCCTGGCCGTCGCGCGATGAGCGGGCTACGCTGGTGTGTGATCCGAATCCGCCTCACGAAGAACAGGAGGAGCAACGGGAAGGAGTTGATCAGATGGAAGGTGAAGACGAAGTAGTAGAAGCAGAGGATGGGAATCTTCAGCCACAAGATGCTGAGGCTGTCTCCTAGGTCGACGATGCCAGGAGCCAGCCTATCTCTGGGGTTTGGCTTCGTGGTGAGAGTGGTCTTAGTGATTGGTACCGCTGGGTGCCCGAGCATGCGAGATGGGGTTCTTCAGATAGTATCGTGTGGTGGCACTTTGAGGAAACGATAATGAAGGCGGATGAGCTAAGGAAATATCTAACAAGCCCGAAGGAGGTGTTGAATTTGACTGGCGATAAAAAGAAGAGGCTGGTGTCTATTAAAGTGGAAGTCATGGTCTACTTTAGAGAGCGTTGATCCACTATATGACTTGTAGGATTCGTCGAAGTTAGTCACGGTCCAAGATGAGGAAGCTGTGGTCAAAATCGGCGGAGGCATTGTTACTAGAGGTTGATGGTGTCGACACATCGACGGTGCTATAGGGTGAGGATAGCGAAGCGACATCAAGGGTTCGGCTGCAATCAGTAGACCGTCGTTCATAGTACAGTAGGACAGCGCCAACTGGCTGAAAGGTGGTATCCGACCTGTGCGGGATCCGTTGTTGTAAGCGACTACAGTGTACAGTACTTGATATGGCCGCCATAGAAGCGACCTGCGCCGAAGCAGGGCATAGTCCTACCGTAAGCGAAGGTATTAGACCTGAGGGTCGGTCTGCTTCTTCGAACTTGCAGTGTTGTGATCTAGGCAGCGATTTGTTAAGGTTACATTTTATGCTCCCGGTAGCTAGCACGATTTTAGAAGACCACCGCTCACCACGCGTCGAGCGCCGTCAACTCTCCTGGGGTGGGCTGAATACACCAATAGGAACGCTCTACCATCCCCGATGCAACTTTGTGCGCCAAAGATGGGCAGAAAAAACCAGATCCCCTGATCACAGCAGCGACGACATCAGGTCTCGGCCATATATCCCAATATGTAAAGTGCTTTGCACTACCCCCAGACCTCTGTGTGTCGCGGCGCAATCGCGGCTGATGCGGGATGGAAGAGCACCGGCACCAGCAGCGTCCCAGCGACGCGGACATCCACAAACCCCCTGTATTGCTTGCTAAATCTACGGCTTGTAGTGGGAGAACCGACTTTTATCGGTCGAAGACCGCGCACTGAGCGACCCCTGCGCTCTCGACCGAGACAACACAAACAAGGCAAGAGAGACATCACGAAACGGAAGAGATACGGGAAGGCAAGGAAGCTTCTACCTGTCCGTAACCATCGCTGTTAAGTCTACTGACGGGCGCTCACAGGCCTTCACCATCCCATATAATCCTTCAAACCCGAAAATCGCGTCGCCGGCGCCATCCGACATACCTGCCAACAGCGAAGTATGTCTAACAGGTCACCGGCGCTTTATTGAAGACAGCCGGTACATCAGACGACACATCCATCATCCTGCCCTTTGACCCAACAAATCTTACCCCTCGTCTTCTACGCCGGCTCGAGATCGGCTACCCGCCGTCCGTTCGCGGATAAAAAAAAAATTTGCCGTCTTACTTGGAGATAGAAGGACTGGCTGGCCTTGAGGAGAAACAAGCGCTGCTCGTCAAGGGTGCCGCGTGGGCTGCCGAGTCGGTCGAGAGCATCTCTCGTCTCTCGGATGGATAGCTCAATCTCCTCCACCAGACTTGGCAACTCCTTTCCTATTTGATCCAACAAGAGCCGACTCAAGAGTTTCCTCTTTCATCGCAACAGCGGACCCAGGAAAACCTCCCCCGATCTCCTTCAGGAGGAAGTCTATTTCAATTGCATCCCTTGCCGCCAAAGAGACATCCCTGTGGTCATAATCCCGCAGCTTTGCACATACATCCTGCCGACGCGAGCATCGAAATTAGCGCAGTTCTTATTCCGGCCAGCTCGTGCGCCGGCCGGCCCCGAGCCTAATACGATCATAGCAAACCAGTCCGATTGTCCGGACCACATATCTCTGGAGGAGTTCAAGGCGTTATGCTCGATTCCGCTTGGCTATGGGATTCAGTGGGAAAACATATTGCTGCAGCTCCATGCTCCGTCAGTGAACTTCAAGAAGGTGGAGACCAAGCTCCTGATCCTGCAAACCATACTCCAGAGTGGACCCCCGCAAGACGGAACCCTCCTCCGGGGTGGACATAGTGTCGTTGAGGATGAAGCGTTCAGCCAACCTCTCTTGGACGGGCTCTTCAGCACCACGACAAAACTGCAAGAGAATTGGCAATCGGCCCAGGCATTCAGCACTTTTGGTTCACTGGCCATCCGTGTGCTGTCGTTGTCAACCGCGGAGACAATTCAACATAGATGCCTAAATTTCCTGTCGACCATCCAGGATATTACCATGAAATGGGTTGACATTTTGAGAGATAGAATTCATGTCACAGTTGGAGATTCCGCAAGAGCGATGTTCCGTGCCAGGACGGTCAAGATTGCGCTCACCTGTGCCGGCTCCTTTAATGTAGACGACAGATTCCTCGAGAACATATTAGCTTCTCCAAAATCCGCATCCATTCTCATACGATGCTCGATCGTCATCCAGGAGGGATTCCATGACGTCGGAGGTCTAGAGCCTGCGAGCAAATTGCTGTTCTGGCGTTGGCAACGGCTCTCACTCCGGGCGTACCCCATCCTAGTGCGGGAGATCATCGAGAATCATAGCAGGGCTCTTGACGACGCTATACGGAAGTCATGGTCAGCATATCGGATGCAGAATAGCTGGCAGGTACTGTCCGACACGTATGATCACTGGATGGTGAGTGGTGACGCCAATAATGAACAACTCTTGCTCCATTTCGATCTCTTGAGCGGCAGGCTCTTCGTGAACGGCTATCCCCTCAACCGTCTTCCATCTGCGTATGAACACCATCCCATGTACCCGACGTTATTTGGACGATCCATCATCGATGTCATGCCAAGTGCTACAATAGGTTTTCAATTCTCAGCAAAGCAGGAGTTCGCTGGCCGCGAGCTTGGTTTCGCCATGCGGCAGGCGTCTCAGCCTCGTGCTGAGACCAACTTGTTGATTCGAGCTGCCAAGGATGGTCACACTGTGGAGCTCGTCCCTCCGAGACTTCTAAATCTCCATCTCCCACGGTTGCTTGTGGAGAACTATGTCCACTGGTATGACATCGACAAGAAGTCTGTCGAGTTCCGCTCTCGCAAGGGGCCCTGGGACACCTCCCCGTAACTGGAAATTGACCAAGTCTTCGGGAGGGTGGCGGCTCCAGAAAGATGACCTGTTGCTACTGAACACCAAGAGCAGACCCACCGACATGATATCTCGGACTTTCTCCCCCATCGAAGATCCTCCCTGGGTTCACATGTGCCTGCAACAGTCCACGTCATCTCTAGAAATTGAACTGCCGAGGCTGAAGCTCGAATTTTTCGTCAAACCTGGAGAGTCTCTCCTAAGATCCCATCAGTTCAGAGACATGGCTATGGACCAGAACCAAGACTTTCCAACTCTGATCGGGCTTCATGACAAGCTTGTACTGAGAAGCGAAGAGCCCTCGCAGTACCGCATGGTGTTGATAGCAGATGGCCACATATCGTATCAGAGGTGTGCGGATCATGTGTACGTGACCATCAGCAAGAGCTCCACCAAGGTTCATGCGTACAAGGCGGACACGCTCCTCGGTAGACTAGTCGACAACGGGAGCCTGCAAAGCAAGCTCTTGCTGTGCTACCACCATGCGTTGACCTCCTTCTGTCTGCCTGATCCACTTACTGGTCGCACTGGAACCGAACAGGCTCTGTTAATACTTGACTCGGCTTTGGTGAAATCTTTTGACAAGTTGACGAGAGAGAACATAGATATTCTAAGGCGCATTGCTGCTCTCACTCCCGCAAGGCGCCACTATCCACCTCATGAAAGCGTGATGGAGACGGTCGACTGGGACCCAGACCTTGGTTTCCTGCCTCGGCATGGGGCTTGTTACGAGCTTGTGACAGGCCTATTTGATCAAGCCAAGAAGTTTAGGTTTTTCTATCCAGACTGTGACCTGGACCTCACCGGGCCCACCCACGTCCACCGGCGCCTCCTAGACCGCCACAGCATTCGCTCAGCTACGTTTCGAGTTCCGGGGTTTGGTGCAGAAAGGCATAGTGCTCTCCATGATTACGTCTATCCTTCGAGGGACCGTCGACAAGATTCATCTCGAACTCGTCGCGTGTTCGAGATTTGTACTATGATAGCCAATGAGCAGCCGGGCCTGCAACCTCATCAGCTTCAGAATGTGGCCTCTCATCTGTGGGCATATCTTGCTTCCGGCGAGGATGTGTTGGGAACAAATTCTTATTTCCCTTCGTCAGACCTCACATACGACAGCCGATGGCTATTGGGTTCGTCAGGATACGTTTCTCGCCATTGGCTTTGGCTGCACCGTGCAATAAGTCAAAAGTCTCCCCGATTCGACAAGTATCAACTAATGACCTGGCTATCGACGCTTGCCTTCGCAGAACATTGCGATATGCTTGTGGTCCAAGTCCTGGCCTCATTTTTTATTACTGCTGAAACGCCTTTGATCTTGCCACCTCAAACTAAATCTTTTGGCCTTGCCGAAGGTGACATCCCTAAAGACTTCAAGATATCTAGCGCCATTCAATCCGCTACCCGTCCGATAGAGCGCTGCCCGGAAACTCGGCTCCCTCGCCGGGGACGAGAGTCGAATAGAACACTCACTCAGCGCCGATACAGTCAGTATAGAAGCAACACGGAGAATGCGCGAGTGAGACTCGTCAACGCCTTGAGGTCTTAATGGCCTTGTGAACGTCCCGACTATGATCTTTCGGCGTGCGGTCCATGGACCACTCACATTGATGCCAACTTAGGACAGCAGTGAACGAGATGTTCAAGCGTTGGTTCGATAACCGTCGTCTTCGCGAATACCTGCGTCAAATATGCAGTGCGTTACCAGCTTCACATACGCCCCCAGGCGAGATGCCTCTCGCAGTTCTCGACACCACCGAACCCCAGTCCCGCGAGAGAGCTGGCTTCATAGGGATTGATGATATCTTTTCCCAGGCGCTTCCGGAGACTCAACCCACCAGTGATACGGCCTTGTCTTGGCTTGTTGCCACGAATTGCGTCGGTCATAGCCATGCCCTCGCCCTTTCAGAGTTGGTGTCAAGGTTAGAGGCGTGCGCAAGCTCCACATACGAACAAGGCTATGTGGGTGACCTAAGAAGAAGTCTTCGGTCGTTGCAAGGGAGAAGACAAGACGTCAAGTTGCGATCGATTGGAACGAGCCTTGATGGTTTATTGGTCCAATATAGAGCACGCTGTGAAGATCAAGTCACGCAGATATATACCGCCATGGTAGAAGCGACCGTAATTGGCGAGGAAGTGGATCGCACGCAGAGATGTAAGGTCCCTGACAGATACCAGCGCCCGAGGCTGTCACCAACTTTGTTCTTGCAATGTCTCAGGCAAAGGCGATGGCAAAAGCTGTCAGCAGGTTGGAGAGATTGGCTGGTTGCATACGGAGTTGCTCTCGTCAGATTCCAACAGGCGGAGCGGCTTCTGGCTTTGTCCAACAGTCCAGCCGAGTTGACCAGCGAACTTCAGAACACTGGTCACACAAACTAGGATCCTCATGACTATCCGGAGTCTCTGCTCCTAGAGATTGAGAGCGGGATTATCATCCGGGGTGTCCAGGAACAAGTGGCTGCGCAGATGAGGAGTCCATCGTCTGACAAGAACGCTGTCATGCAGCTAAATACGGGCGAGGGAAAGTCGTCTGTGATCGTGCCCATCATGTGTGCAGCGCTCGCTGATGGCAAAAACTTGGTGCGGATGATAGTTGCTAAGCCCCAAGCGAAACAGATGTTCGATATGCTAGTATCAAAGATGGGAGGACTTCTAAACCGAAGAATTGTTCACATGCCATTCTCAAGAGCGCTCAGGCTGGGATCCGCCGAAGTCGAGGCAATTCATGAGTCATTGCAGGAATACGTCGCTGCTGGTGGCATCCTACTAGTTCAACCTAAGCATATCCTATCGTTCAAGCTCATGGCAATCGAGAGGAATATCCTGGGCGATGAGACTGTGGGAAACCACATGATGAGATGCCAGGACTTTCTGCATGCATGGGCACGCGATATCGTGGATGAGAGCGACGAAAACTTCAGCGTCAAGTTCGAGCTCGTCTATACCATGGGTGTGCAGCGTCCTATCGAGGCTAGCCCCCAGAGGTGGATCGCCATTCAGGAAATCCTAGGCATCATTCGCAAATGCGCATTGGCAGCTAAGGCATCATCTACCGACTCGATGGAGATGCACCGGGCATCTGCGGGGTGTTTCCCCCGTTTTAGATTCCTCCGATCAAGTGCTCTCGATCAACTCCTTCTCGAGGTGGCGGTTCAGATTTGCGAAACAGGGCTCACCGGCTTTCCAATCCCAATGCAGCCAGTCTCGGTTCGAGATGCGGTGAAGACATCCATAACGCGGCTCGACTTGACGGCAGCAGAGATTAGCGAACTTGAGGAACGAGGCTTGCGTGGTGTCTGGTCGGCCAGGGGAAACTATATCCTGCTTCTCCTACGCGGTCTCATAGCTGGTGGCGTGCTATCATTTGCATTTCAGAAACGGTGGAGGGTTCAGTATGGCCTTGACTCCGCAACCCCCCCTCGGACAAAGCTTGCCGTGCCATATCGTGCCAAAGATAACCCAACGGCTCGGTCCGAGTTCAGCCATCCAGAGGTTGTCATGGTTCTCACACTCTTGACTTACTACTACACTGGGCTCACGGACGATGATCTAACCCTAGCATTTGACCACCTGCGCAGATCTGATCAGGCTGACCAGGAGTATCAGGTGTAGGTAGAAGATGCCGACAACATGCCGGACGCTTTCCACCAGCTCGATGGTATCAACTTGGATGACCATTTCCAGTGCGTTGACCATGTGTTCCCTGGTCTGCGATACGCCAAAGGCGCTATCGACTATTTTCTCGCCCATCTAGTCTTCCCCAAGGAGATGAAAGAGTTTCCGCACAAGTTATCCGCATCCGGTTGGGATATCGGCGAAGAAAAGCTGCAGAAAACCACTGGATTCAGCGGCACAAATGACGCTCGAATACTCCTTCCACTGTCGGTCGAGCAGCTTAACCATGAGGCCCAGCGACATACCAACGCGCTTGTATTTGGAAATATTCTTCGTCCCGAGAATACTGTCGTGTCCGTGACGTCGGTCTGCGGGGGCAAAACCTCGAAGGCACAAGAACTCCTCGACTTGATAGTGCAAATGGACCCACAAGTACAGGTGATACTCGACGTTGGTGCTCAGATCTTAGAGCTTGACAACATCGGAGTTGCCAAAAGCTGGCTAGCAATGGTTCGCAATCGCGGGGACATTCAGGCTGTGGTCTACTTCGATGATGATGACCGTCTTTGTGTGATTGATCGGAAGGGAGATATCGAGCCGCTGGCTACATCTGCGTTTGCCGCACAGCTAGACGCGTGTCTGGTCTTTCTTGACGAAGCTCATACTAGAGGCACCGACCTGAGACTGCCACGCAATCACCGCGCGGCGGTCACACTTGGTGCAAATTTGACGAAGGATCGGTTGGTTCAAGGTGTGTGGACAAGTCGGCATCATCTCGATTGGCGGCTAACACTAGAGTAGCGTGCATGAGGATACGAGGATTAGGAAAGGGGCAATCAGTGGTCTTCTGCGTCCCAAAGGAGATCGAACTGAAGATTCTAGCATGTGTCCGGCCTAGGGATCAGACTCACAAGATCACAGTCTCGGATGTCCTGATCTGGTCTATCTATGAGATATAGAACGATGCCAAGCGGAGCATACCGATGTGGGCCAGTCAGGGTTCACGATTTCAGGATTACAACAGTGTATGGACAGAAGCTTGTGCCGATGGCAAGACTCATATGCCGAAAACCACAGCGGAGGACTTTCTTGAGGTGGAAGCTCAGAGTTTAGTGGCGAGATATCAGTCCCTGACTACCACGAGCGCAGCCGACCCAGGTAGTGATGATCCGATCACTCGACGTTATAATCAGTTTGGTGAACTACAGCACCTCTCAGCTTCTCTACACGAGGAACAAGAACGGGAACTATCCCCAGAAATCGAACAGGAACGTCAAATCCAGAGGCCCTCGCGCGCTGAGCCGGCGCGGCACAGCATCCACCCAGATCTGCGACGCTTCGTATCAACCGGTATGCTTCGCGAG